ATGCATCGATGCACCTTAAACAATTTCTGGTATTTATCATCGATGCATCGGTGCACAATGAATGTGCATCGATGCACATTGCCCAGAACTGACATTTTAGCACGTAAATCATCAACTCTTCCCTTAATTCTTCTATTCTAAGCCCCTATTTTGACATTAAACTCAATTACCATTACTTGAACCAACTTATATCCATGTAAATCATCTTTAACCTCAAAATCCTATCTTCTTTATGAGATTCAAGAATCATACCAAATTTTCTATATGTTCTAAATCCAATTCTATCACTCCAAATCTCTTAATTTAACCATTGACAAGTCAAATTTAACTTCCAATTTAAGCAATGAACTCTACTTCAAGATTTCACTTTTCTACTTCCTTTCTTTAATTCTTCATCTACTCCTCATCTTATAGTTTTAAGATAATCTAAGCTTTCCTTAAGCTTAGTTATTATCTAAGGATCAATAAGCAACCTTAAATTCATCAAGAATTTGATCCACAAGAAAACTCACCTTTAGCTTGGCTCTCCCACGTATGAAGAAGAAGAAAGGAGAAGAGAACTCTGGATGTTTCTCATTTCCCACGTTTATATTACCTTTTAAAAGAAAGATAAAAATCTTTCTGATCAAATGACCATTTAACCCTTAGCTTCTTTTAATAATTACAAAATAACCTTCATCATATATATTCAATAATCATTGAACTATTTCATTCTTATACTTTAGTCACCAAATTCTAAAACTTTACAATTTGGTCACTAACCCTGTATTGAGGATGTTACAATTCATCTGCAAATTTCTTTGACGTTAATATGGAGATGCCATTGACGCAACAATCTGTGCAGTTTCCATTTGACACGATGGCTTCAAGCTCCAGGGGGAGGCATTCGACTGCGAGCTTTTTCGATCTCAATGTCGATATGCCTTCTAGTTCAAGGGGAAGACATGCAAGTAGTAGGTTCTTCGACCTAAATGTGGAGCGCATGGAGGAACCATCATCTCCACCAGAAGAACCGCTTCGTGAGCCTGGTGTGGATGGTGCTGAGACTGGACTATTCATTCACCCAGAATCACCGCAATTCAACTCCGATGATGATGATGTAGATGAAATTCTAGGAAATATGACACAAACTGACCCTCCTGCACACATGTATGAAGTTGATTATGGTGCAATGTACAGGCCAGAATTTGCGGATATGCCTCATCTCGGTGACTATGGATATTACTCATCAATAAATAATGGTGAGTTATCTTTAGGCATGGAGTTTTCAAGCAAAGAAGAAGCGATGATGGCTATCAAAAATTACAATATCCGTAATTCTGTTCAGTCCAGAGTCAACCGATCGTCGACCGAAAAATATGTATGCTACTGTGCCCGACGCGAAAACGGATGTAATTGGATGGTTCGCGTATCGATAATGAAGAGGATAAACAACATATGGGAACTAACAATATACAACGGTCCTCATACATATTGTGCTGGAGGGGTCAACCAAGATCATCCCAACTTGGACTCTGAAATGATATGCCAAGCCATCATGCCCATGGTAAAAGCAAGCTCTCATATAGTTGTTGCAGTGTTGATTTCAACTATACAATTGCAGTATGGGTACAATGTCTCCTATAAAAAAGCTTGGTTGGCAAAACAAAATGCCATTGTCAAACTTCATGGCGAATGTGATGTATCTTACAACGAACTTCCAGGTTGGTTTAGGCTGGTGCGGACGTTGAATCCTGGGACAATTGTGGACTTCAAAACCTCCTATGCATACCATAATGATCGAGTTCTTCGTGTTCGAAGTCAATTCTACCGGGTTTTTTGGAGTTACCCACAGTGCGTTAATGCTGCCAAATACTGCAAGCCTGTGGTCCAGATCGACGGGACTTTCTTGTATGGAAAATACAAGCAAGTTTTATTATTGACAGTTGTCCAAGATGGCAATCGCAACATTCTTCCAGTTGCTTTTTCTCTTGTCGAATGAGAAGATACAAATTCTTGAGCTTTTTTCCTCCGAAATTTACGTGCACATGTTATCACGAGGGAAAACATCTGTGTCATTTCAGATCGCAGAGCTGGGATCAAAGCATCAATGGAGTCTTTGAGTCCAATGTGGCAACCACCCTTTGTCCAACATAGGTATTGTCTCCGACACATTGCTGCGAACTATCATAAAAGGTACAAAAAGAATGATGAGCGTCAATTAATTGTGCGCATGGGTAAGTGAAAACAAGTTAGTAAGTTATACATTTTTTGATCATTTTAATTTTGCAAAGAAAGCAAGTTAGTAAGTTATACATTTTTTTGATCATGTTACGAACTACTTTCTCGAACGTTTGAATCAATGCTTCAAGATTTACGGGCGAAGAACGAGGAAGGATACGATTACATCAGCCTCATCGATAAAGAAATGTGGCGTATACCCCACGTGTCAGATAACCAGGTATAGCGCAGCCCCTGATCCGCGCTATACCCCTACGTGGCGTATAGCGCGGATCAGATGCCGCGCTATAACCACATGTAACCCATGTCAGCGTATAGCGCGTGCAGGGGGCGCGCTTTACTGCTACGGATATTAGATCAGAAAATATAATCTGACCGGTGTTAAATCGATAAATATACCGATCACCGGTGATTTTTCAGGAAAACACCTCCAATCAGCATTATTTTACAGCTGCTGTGTACGGCTCCTCGATATTGGTCATATCTGTCAAATGGTTTATTAGCCGAACTCAAAGGGTCGATTTTTTCTCCTTTTGATTTTTAAAAGGCAAGTTGAGTTTTCCATTTTAAAAGAAGTTAGTGCGGGTTGGAAGTAGCTCTAGTGTGTTCCTCTTCGTCCATCTTTACTTTCAATACATATATAGAAATAAAGTCAGGAAATTTATATTGTAATATAAACATTTTAAAAATATATAGAAGAATATTTTAAGTGGACAAAGACACTTAACACCTTGAAATGCTGGAATCTAACATACACTCAATCACCCATGTTTCAAATAGACTGTGGACGCAAATGAATGAAGGATAATTAAGACTCATTGTTACTTTTAAAATTTTTAAATTTCAACATATTTTATATACTTTTATTGATGATCTATTTTTCTTAAAATTTTATTAATTCGTCTTAATTTAAAAGTTTATAAATTAATTTATTTTAATATATTAAATTTTACGTCCATGCATATCAATATTGATTATAAATCAATACCAATTAAGTGCCTCTTCTGAACCATATCAATGACCGAATGTGTCTTACGGTTCCAATCAGCTACATGTAAGGGACCTAAAACCAACACAATACTAAAAATAAAATTAACACATATTTTTTAAAAAAAATATTAACACTATTCTACAAATAATTATAACATAAGTTTTAAATGTTTGATAAAATACACATCTTATTAATTAACCTCTCTTCTCTCTTCTCTTTTCCCTATCCCTTTCCCTTTCATTCTTTCTCTCTCTTAGCATTTTAAGACCTTGTAACTATAATATAATGACCCTATATAAAATCGTACACATATGAAAATAAACGTATAATTTTGTGTTAAGAAAGTAAATTTATAAAATTTTAATGATAAACAAATTATAAAATTTGAAGAAACGAAAATTGACCTTAATAAAATATAAAAATTAATTTTTTAAGATGAATAATTGTCCATTCATTTATATATATATATATATATATATATATATATATATATATATGGATTGTCCGGTTGCATTATTAAGTAAACAACATCAACAGTTCCTCTCTTTCTATTAAATCCTTTCCTTCCCTCATCAACCCCACGACAAACTAATTTCTCAACACCCAAAAATGGAGCCTCAAATACCATCTGAGCCTTGTCTCTCTGAAACTTCAGCCATCGTTTCAGCCTCAAATGGCCCAACACCAACCGCCAGAACCTCCATGGATACTACCCCCAAAGAAGACAAGAAAGAAGATGATCTCGTATTGGACCTGCGCCTCTCCAATCAAGAATCGAAGCCTGAGCTGAATTTCGTAGACTGTTTCAAGGTTGTGGACTCGTCCTCTGATCATGATCAAGACCAAGGTAATGAAACTGAGCCTAGAGTATTTCCATGTAACTATTGCCAAAGAAAATTTTACAGTTCACAGGCTCTGGGAGGCCACCAAAATGCACATAAACGAGAAAGAACACTGACCAAACGAGGCCAGCGGATTGGCCGTGGCGATTTCGGTCAACATTATAGCATGGCTTCTCTTCCTCTGTATTGTTCCTTGAATAAACCACTTGGAGTTGGGGAGCACTCCATGATCCACAAGCCCACTTTTGCTCCATGGCATAATGGATGGTCTAGACGCCTCGTTGATCGCCATCTTTCAATGGGGATTAGTGCCACTGGTACATTCCAAGGCCGTGTAGGGAAGTTCGGTCCGCCCACGGAGGGAATGGCTGGATTTTTGTGGGATACTGTTAACCATTTCTGTTGGTAATGCTCAATCCCACATAGTGTTGGAAACACTATTGGGAATGGTATTTAAGGCTTGACATTCCACTTCCTTGTTGAGTGATAGAGAACAAGGGGGGCTCTCGCGCACCGCCGCCGTCCGTCCGTCTCGTCTCGTCTCGGCTCGGCTCGGCTCGGCTCGGCTCGGCTCGGCACGGCTCGGCTCGGCTCGTGGTCGTGGTCGTGGTCGTGGTCGTGGTCGTGGTCATACGTGTCTTCGACACGTCCGCGCGGATACTATCTTTTTAGAGAAAATTCTTGAGGAATTTCTCTTTGAAAGAAACAAATGGAAAATGTGAAAGATATCAACTGATATTTATAGGCTGCTGAGGACTGTTTGAATTTCAAATAATAACAGCTGAATTATTATTTTTTTATCAGAAATTAAACAGTTTATTCCTAAATTAAATCAGACCGTTTACTTTGGAAGAAGTGTGGTCTGTCATCTCTTCCGCAGATGGTTGCGCACTTCTGATCCGAATGGTTTCGACATTCACTTCTATAAAAAAATACTGGGGTGAAATTCAAGTCAACCTGATGCAAACATCGTTGCAGAAATGGTTACAGTTTTTGGTGATTAAATTGTAAGCATTTCCTTTGAATTCATCGGCCAAATCCTCCATAACTCCCCTCACATCCGCAGGACCCAACTCCGTTTTCCCGATCAAAATTGATTTCCTAAAGGTGAACCCATCGCACTGTTTGGGTTCTGCCTCAAATATCCCAGTTGTTGGATATTCGTGAGCCCCAAACGCATATTCAACCCCATGAACTGCCACCCCAAAAAAGAAAAACTTTCTTAAAGACATATAGCAGAAAAAGGAAAGCAAGTAAAAAGTATAATTTTCTTCAAACTCACTTCAGCTAAGGTTTTCAACTTTCTTTTCTTGGATCTAAGAATGAAGGAAACAGAATCTGAGAAAGGAATCATTTCCAAAGATTTAGTAAAAAGGAAGAAAAGAAAACCCAAAACCATTTTTAGATCCCAAAAAACACAAGAGGGAAAGTTGATTGTAGAATGTCGACAGTAGCAAGGGTGTAGGAAAACTAACCCTGAACACCAGAATGATAAACCCCAAGTCCGAACCAGTAAGCATAGCCATTAATTGGCGTTAGATCATACACGTTCAGATACACTGGTTCAGATCCTGTTTCCACACAACTCCAATTCTTACGACACAACATTTTCTTTTTTTCAGGGAGTACCCAGTTTTTTTCTTCTTCTATGAAAGTGATCGTCGTTGGTCACTGAAGAAGAAGATTGCTAACATAATAATATAAAGAAAATGTTTTTTTTTTTCTAAAGGGTTTCGCTTTTCAAATTCTTTAAATAGGGATTGGGGGGGGGGGTTTGGGGGAAAAATTGAGGATTGCCTTTGTGAGCTTTATCTAAGAATTCCAAAACTCCTTTTTTTAATTTTTTAATTTTTTTGATAGACTTTAAAAAAACCATAGGATTATACATATCAATAACAAATTAGTATTTATCAAATAATAATATATAAATAAACTTTAATGAATTTGTGCTGCGTTATATTGTTAAAAGGACAGTATGAGATTTGATGATCTTTCATTTTAGGTGCAGCTATGGAAGATGGGAGCAGCCAGGTATGATGATATTAATTTAATTTAAGCGTTAATTAATAAACGAAGTTTATAAATACCCTTTAATTGTTATTTTTAATTAGTTATGGCTCTAATGGGATTAGTTATTCAAAAGTTTCGTTAAATCATTATCATAAAAGTGTTAACACACTAATACATACTCTGAAACACTTTCTAAAACGTGATAATACTCAAAAAATTGATATAAAGTATTCTTTATTCTAATTATTTAGGGATAAATATATTGTTTTAATTTTGATTGATATTATTCAGTTTTATCTTTGAAGAATGTCTCTGATATATTGTGGACAAAAAGAAGGTGCAGCCGACACAGATTAGTGAAAGAGGTTAATGGGAGTGAAAGATTAAGTGGGTAACCTAACTTAGACCCAAATGATGAAGGCATCAACATCAGATTTAAATGGGTCCATTAAAGCTTTTATCTTTTCTTTTTTTTTTTGGTTTTAGCTTTTGCATTATTTGTCTAATGGATAAAATTAAGGGTAAATTATGTATTTAATATCTAAATTATCAGTTTTGATCTGTTTTAGTACTTAAACTTTTATTTTTTTAAAATCACACATAATGTGTAGTTTTTGTTTCATTTTAGTACCATGATGCTAAAAACTTGGCAGAATTGTTACAACTTGATACTTTTTTATGGGTAAATTACATCATTCATCACTTATCTATCTTCTCACTCCTATTTTAGTCATTGGTTTTTTTTAAAAAAAAATTTAATTACTTAACTTTCACATTACTCCTAATTTAGTCACTCTAACTTTCAAAATAAATATTAATGAAATAATAATAAATCCATCATGTCATAAAATATTATTAATAAAATTAATCAGACTGATTAAAACATGAGTAATTTAAAAGTTGAGTAGTTAAATTAAAAAAATTTAAACTTTAATGACCAAAATTAGTTGGTCAAACCGTTGCTCGTTAAGCTTGTTACCTATTAAGCTCACCAAAATTTTTGTTTTTTAAGTGTAAGTAAAATATACTAATACTTTATAAAACTTATTATAAATATAAATTAATAAATTTAACAAAAAATTATCAAAAGAGTGTATGAAACAAATTTAAAGTATAAACATTAAAATAACAATCCATATATACATTAAAATAATAATTAGGGTTTAATTTTTTGGTGTAGTAAAATAATAATGATTAATTAGTAATTTAATATATTTAATTATCTATTAGAAAATTAATAGATTAGTAATTTATCATTTTCAATTATCTATTAACAAATTAGTAATTTTTTTGAATGAAATAATTTTTAAAGATAACTACTAAAAATTAATAAAAAAAATTAACGAGTTGCTCGCTAACTTATCGAGTCAAGTTAGACTTTGTTCGACTCAGCTCGTTAAGATTTTGAGTCAAGCTCGAGTTCGAGTCAAGTCTACCCGAGTCAAGTTTTGACCGAATCGAGTTTGAACAACTCAACTTATTAAGCACCCCTAGTGTTATACAATATCAATATGAAATAAAGGAAAATCATGGATCTAAACTATACGAATTTTATTTTTAAAATATAACCCATACAATGTGTATTTAGGACACATAATTACATAAGTACGAGTTGAATAAAGACAACAACGACAACACTCATGTTTAGATTTTATCTTTAATCACTCGACAATTGTTAATTTTGAGTTGTCAAAGATATTTTTCAAAATTGATCAAACCTATATCAGTATAATAGTTAAAGACAATTGTTTCTTTATGAAATACTCGAGATCTCAGTATCCAAAATTCTCTTTGACACTCATATTACTATGAGTTTGATCAAATTTAATAATTATATTTGACAACTTAAAATCAACAATTTTTTGTCATTATATTCTCAAATCTCACGTTATAGACATATCTGATATTTTTAAAGTGTTTAAAAATAATATTCTGAATTTGTAGTCTTTAATTTATTGAAGATAGCAAGTCGGATTGAAAGATTCTTGATATCGCTCGAAATTCTTGCAATGTGGTCATCGTTATCGCAATCCTGCCTTCTGAAGAGCTTATCGGATCATTGTCCCATCACCCTGGAACAACGTCTATTATCTCCCGGCCCCAGACCCTTCAAATAGTTCTCTTAGTCTGACGAACTGAGTTACTCTGAACTGATAAAAGAGATCTGTGCCAAAGGACGTGACAGTGGAATAAAAAACATCTTATTTGCATGCAAGGCAGCTTCCAAGGAGTGGTTGAAGGCAAATAAACCAATCGATCCAGATTCTATTGATCAAATGGAGAGGTGCATCTAATCTCTAGACATGGACATATGCTCAGGAACTGCCAACTCATATGTTGTTTGTGAAGTAAACGCATTGAGAAATTGATTGTGGAATGCTTACAAAAGCGAAGAAAGAGACTTGATTCAAAAATCAAGGCCTAAATGGTTCAATGAGGGAGATCGCAACACATAATTCTTCCACCTTTCCACGTCGATCAGACAAAGGAGGAACCATATAGACTCAATAACAAGTGGTAACTACATCTACGTCGACTTTATTGAGATTTCAAAAACTTTCTCTAAATACTTCAAGCAAGCCTTCAGCGAAAGAAACACAATCAATTTGGTTAGATGATACATTTGTTTCAGACAACTTAAATATGAGGTTGCTGCCACTTTGGAAAGACCGTTTACTTTGGAAGAAGTGTGGTCTGTCATCTCTTCCGCAGATGGTTGCGCACTTCTGATCCGAATGGTTTCGACATTCACTTCTATAAAAAATACTGGGGTGAAATTCAAGTAGGTGTGATGGATTTCTTTAGCAAGTTCTACGAAGGAAACTGTTTTGATATGGCACTGATTTATTCATTCATAACATTAATTCCCAAAGTGAAATTCTCGTGGAAGACTATTGACCTATAAGCCTTATTGGAAGCATGTATAAAATTCTCGCGAGAGTGCTTGCAAGAAGATTGGTGTTCTGCATTGGAGAAATCATTGATGAAGACTAATTTGTTTGCTCTCTCGGTAAGCAAATTCTTGACTATGCGTTACTAGCTAATGAATTAGTTGATTTGGATCGAAAATGGAGGGACAAGGTTACAATTCTTAAAGCCGACTTCAAGAAAGCCTACAATTCAGTTGATTGGTCTTTTCTGGTCATCATGTTGAGGATTTTGGGTTTTGGAACCAAATGGATCAAATGGATGAAGTGTTGTTTCTCAACTGCGTCAATTTTGGTGTTGGTAAATGGGGTCCCTCCGACTCATTTTGCCCAAAACAGAGATTGAGACAAGGATGCCCATTATCGCCTCTCCTATTTAATATAATTGTCGAAGGTCTCAGCATAGCCTTGAAGAAGATGGTCGATATAGGTATTTTTCTGGTATGATTGTAGATGAAGATCTTTCAACATGCCATCTCCAATTTATTGACGACCTGATTATCTCTGCCTTGACTATTGATGGTTAATTAAAAAATATCAAAATGATTATCAGATTATTTGAACTGGTTTCGGGGTTGAGTTAATTCTAAAGAAGCCAAACCTCTTTGAGGTTAACATAGCATACGAGCCTTTGAATCATATATCTGAATCTATAGGATGTTACAAGGGGTCCTTTCCATCGAGCTACTTGGGTCTGCCCCTTGGCGCTCCAGCAAACAACAAATCCTTATGATAACTAGTAGTGGACAAGTTCTCTAATAAGCTGACTAGTTGGAGGAGCAGCTCTCTGTCGCATGGCGGTAGGTTGACTTTGGTAAAATTAGTCCTAAATAACTTGCATGTTTACTTTCTGCCAATGTTTCAAATACCTATTTCAATAAGCTTCACACTGAACAAAATGATAGCTAAATTCATCTAGGGCGAGGTAAATGAAAGAACTCTTAATTGGATTAAGTGGGACTGTGGGATGTGATCTGTAACCCGATTTCAAGGTACGGCCTTGGCGTCGCTGATTTGAAAACAAAAAATTGTGCTCTCCTCAACAAGTGGATCTGGCATTTCGAATGTGAATCAGACTGTCTCTAGAATAAGGTGATCTACGCCAAAAGCAATCAAGCCCCTTCATCTTTGCTGCCGAAAGCTGGTGTGGTAAGACACACAGCCTGTGTGTGGAGATCAATTTTGAAACCTTTCCGTTTGGAGGATAATGCTTTTGTCATCAACCTTCGTCCTGTTTTGGGCAACAGTACCCTTATTGATCTAATTGTGATCTAATTGTTGTTTCTGGTTCAGAGTTTGACAAAATTTGAAAGACTGTATAGATCAAGTTCACTCTCCTAAAAGTACAGTTCTTCATGTGGATATTGATACACGAAATACTACCCTTTAAGTCTAAACTTTTTACAAGAGAAACCATCCCCTCTGATCAACTTCCCTGCCCCTTTTGTACCGAAAGCTGAATCAACCGCCCATCTCTTTTATCATTATCCGGTATCTTGGTGGTGTTGGCTCTGTTGGTGTAAATTATGGCACGTTCACTTAGTAATGTCTGGGGATTCTAAATCTTTTCTAATCCTATGGGTGAACTGCCCCATCAAAGTTGCATCTCGGCCAATATGGTTGGTGGCTTTCCATGGCCTAGCTTAGACCATTTGGTTATTCTGGAATGAGATGCTTTTCAATGGTAAGATTGTTGATGAGA